AGGAGGAGGAGGAGGAGGAGGAGGAGGAGGAGGAGGAGGAGGAGGGAACCGGTAGCTATACCAGCCCCCCTCTTCGAAAATGAGAGGTCTCCAATCTTCTGGTGCCAGCAGCAGTATGCAGTTCGGATTATCATCATTGCAAGTGCTGGGATCAGAGGGGAAGTAAGGTGAACCCCTACAAGGTGGAGGCCAAAAGGCTTGCTGTGGTGGAGGTGGTGGTAGAGATGGAGGGGGAGGTGGTGTTGGAGTGTGAAGTGATCTTGGAAGAATGGGAACGGGACTGGGAGTGTGGTATGAGCTGAGGGAGTCAATTGGCGACACCAGGCATTGAGTCAGGAATGCAGGCATAGTGCTGATGGGAGGGGGGAGGGGAGGGGCAACATTCACAGACAGAGAGGTTTGTTCTGGTTCCCCTTGCTCCCTGATGGCAGCCACCGGAGGGGGAGATGGTGTTGGAGGGCAAGGCAATCTTGGAAGGATGGGGACAGGACTGGGAGTGTGGTACAAGGTGAGGGAGTCAATTGGCGACACTGGGTGTTGAGTTGGGAATGCAGGAGTAGTGCTGATGGGAGGAGGGGGGAGGGGAGGGGCAGCATTCCCAGACACAGAGGTTCATTCTGGTCCCTCCTGCTCCATGACAGCAGCCACCTCAATGTCCATGACAGTGTCCTGCTCCAGGGAGTCCTCTTGCTCCAGGAAGACATCCTCCTCCTCCCACAACTCCTTCTCCTGCTGTTCCTGTTCCTGCTCCTGCTGCAGTTGTTGCCGGACCTGCCGGCTATCCTGCTCCCACAGTGGCTGCTGCTGCTGCTCCTTCCACCTCTGTTGCACTTCCTCCAGCTCCTGCATCACCTGTTCCAGCTCTGCCTTCATCTCCTCCATCTCCAACACCACCTCCATGGGCTCATCCATCTCTCTGCTGAGGTCTTTGTGTTGCAATATCATGCTCTTCCTGTCGGCATCAGAACGAGCATGATCAAGAGGAACTGCAGCTATGGACTCAGATACAACATGGTGAAGGGAGGGCAGTCATGCTTCCATTGTGATGTCATGAGCAGGAGAGGGGTAGCGGACATAGTGATGCCTTTGTGAGGGCAAAGCTGAATGACTTTGGGTACAGTCACACCTGTGATGGCTGTGGGGTGACAGCAAGGCTGAGTGGCTTTGGCTACAGTATTGCCTTTGACAGCTGTAGGGAGAAGGCAACCTGGAGTACTGAGCATGATCTCTACATCTGCAAGGAGCTGGTGATCTCTCCCTCCAATACTGGTTTGGAGGTGAATATCTTGACTGGTTTGATTGTTGTGGAGACCAGTGATGGTGACCCACTGGGTGCATGTTCTTCTGCATTGCAGAGCTTATGGGATTGTGAAGTTGAACAAGGGGAGGGTAGTTGAAGCCATCTGGCAATGGGTAGGCTATCTCCCATAGTTGCCCATGAGGCCACCAACCTTTATCCAGAATGCAATTTGTGCTGAACTCAGATTTTTGGTAGTTCTTCGCAGGAGAGGATGGGGAAAACAATGGCCAGGTAAATGGCTCAAGTTCACATCTGGGAGAGGCAGAGGGGGCAGGTGATCCAGGTCTGTTGTCCCAGTCATTGTCGAGGACTTTTTGTTGCCAAAGCACCATGCCCAGCATGCCTTCCCATTTGCGAACAGCTACTGCCCACAGAGATGACAGCCAGTGTACTTGTCATTTGGCTGCCATCTGTTCCAGAATAGGGAACACTGCTAGCAGGTTGGGCAGGGCAGACTTGGCTTCCACACAGCACTGGAAGGCATTGTACATCATGGACAGTGTGGACACTTGTCTCTCAGGCACCATGCAGGATTTGAGATAGGTTATGCCTGCAAAGAGGTTAGTAGTGTTTACAGTCAGAAGGTAGATGTATGCACACCTTTCTGGAAGATGAACTCCCTGCAGTACATCTGCCAACAGAGAAGGACCTCCCATTGTTCGTACATGGTTAGGATACAGTCCTCCAATGCATTGTTGAAGTCCTCCTGCCTTTGTCTTCTGGCATATGATGGTGGGCGACACTTCTTGAAGGTTGTGTCGAGCAAAGGCTTAGTCAGGTCCAGTTGTGGGATTAGGTCAATGTTGAGCTGGGTGAGCAAATAGTCGAGACTCTCTGGGATGATGAACCAGTCCGCATTATTGATGGTAGACATAGTTGAGGAAAGGTATCATAGGTTCTTGTAGAGAGGGAGGGGGAGTGTGGTGAGTGAACACCATAATTGGTAGTTCACTCAAGAGGGGTATGACACTCATTTTCTTCATGCATGTATGGCTATTTAGAGTGCCTGAGCAGTGCTCACGGAGGACTTGGTTCAGGGAGGAGGGTAAGGAAGAGTATTGTCTTGCATGCTAGTCAAAAACCTTGAAGCTAAGACACCTGGTACTCCATGTGTGTCTGGTACCAGAGCTGTCCCTTGTGAAAGGTATGTGCTCTGGGAGGGGGGGAAAGGGGGAGGGGAGGGGAAGTGAAACAGTGTTGATGTCGTCAAGGGAGGAGATGTTGAGGAGATGTTGAGGAGAGGAGAGGAGAGAGAGGACAATGATGATGAGGTGGTGGTGGCGAGGAGGTGGTGGTGAGAAAATGGCAACTCACAGGCCACAGGAGCAAAGGTCATGTGAGTGCGGGAGCAAATTATCACATGCACAGGAGCAATAGATGCAGCTTTTACACAAGATGATGGTGAGTTTGCCTTCGGCATATACACTTTCATCTTACTGACATCACAATATGATAGATATTGATGATAACTCTGTGATGCATGCCCTGTTGGGAGCAATGGGTACAGACAAGAACCTCAGTGAGTAACATTATGCTGCATGCACAGTATATATCCTGATCATTCTCAGTTCCACCATATCCCCCTTCCACCAAAACAGTCAATGAGCTCCTAGCAGCCCCACACAAGACACCTGTCAGCTTGGAACTGACCCTCATCAGCAGCTGTTGAGACAGATTTCAACTTTCCCTATTGTTGGTCAAACAGCTCTCCCTCCCAAAATTTGACATCCCAGTCCTCACTCCTCAACAACAAAAAGACATGGAAAGGTGGTATGCCAAACACCTTCTGGAGGGGAAAGGTGTCAAACCCCGTGACCTGCGCTGGAACATCAACCAGCATGAATGTGATTTGCAGACATGTTCCACAGAGGACTGGACAGTTTATGCCATGTTGTGGGACCCAAAACATCCCCACCACCCTTATTGTGAAGGTCCACCTGCAGATCCCCTCAGTGCAAAAGTTCATTGGGTGATCCTGGTCCACAAAGCTTTTTCAACCATGCTGTCAAAGACACACAAATCTGGAATCATTCATCTGCAGTGGATCGAACATCTCAAGGCCATGCATATGTACTTGCAGTGCCATCTTTTGGAGAACCTTGCTGCTGTACCAAACCACAAAGTCAAGGAACTCTACAAAGAGTTTGTGGGTAGTTGGTGCTGTGCCATCAATTGGCAACTCTTCCAGATGCCAATGTCTTTCGAATGAGCTGAGAGAATTTGGCTCATTGCCCAGTGCAAAGTGCATGACCTTCTTGGTATTGCAAACTTTGTGTTGGCACAGTACATAAGGAATTATGCCTTCACTCCCCTCAATTGGCCATGGACACATAATTTTGTTGTTGTTCTGTATGACACTGTTCCTGAAGCACATCGTGAGACACTGTTGCGGGATGGCATGCTGATGCTCTGCTTTCACACCATTGACACTGCTGATGAGTGTTTGACAGATGCCTGGGTCAAGCAACAACTGCAGATCCTGAAGCAAGCATCCTCTCCCTGCACACAAGCACAGTATGCTGTACATGAAGGCCAGATCCATTGTCATGATGCACTCGATCTCAAACACTTGAAGAATGTGAACTGACCCAGCAAGCATCAATGCAAACATGCTAAGAAGTGCAAAGAGGAGACAGCTATGTCTGTGGACCCACCGACTGCCTCTACTAGCAACTCTGTTGCTGCTACAGGCAACATCATCAACTGGGATGGTGCCAGTCAGGTATGTCATGGCCTTTGAGATTAATTTGGTGCTCTGGGACCTAGCCAGGCCTTTCCCACCCTGCAGTCATCCAGAGCAGATGCCAACAAGCAAGATGCCACAGAATGGTGGCACTATCCTTGGTACTACCCCAGAGCTGCCACTTTGTCCATTCCCATCAAGCTGGGTGGTGGGACAATGTTGGAGTCTATGGTGGCAAGACCAGTGCCTGCAACTCCTGAGAAGGCTCCAAACCTGCTTGCTGATTCCTCCTGGACCAAGAACATAGCTCAGCCCTTCCACAATCATGTTCTCAGCCATGTGCATGGAGAACCTGCTCTTCCCCCACCCCCCATGCCTCATGCATGCACAAGAGAGAGACTAATAGGTGCACTGCTGCCCCTTGCTCCTCCTCCAGTGTCCTGTGCCCCCCCCCAGCCCATTAAAGCTGCCAATAAGGAATGTGCCTTGCATCTGGAGGTTCAAGTGTCA